AGGTGAGTGGGTTCTAGCCCGAAGGGCTGGCGGTGCGCCGCGTCTTTCAGGAACCGGGAACGGGGGAACAGAAAGCAAGAAGCTGGGCCGCCCGGCACCTGGCTGAGCTTTGAAGGATCCGGAGGAGGAGGGGCGTGCTCCCCTCGCCGGCCGCGGGAGCCCCGGGGCGGGGAGGGAAGCGCGGCGTGGGCACGAGGAGCGGCCCGAAGCGAGGCGGGGAACCCCGACCGGGCGCTTGGCGCCGCCGAGGAAGGCTTTCAAGCCGGTCTTGCCCAGCGGCTCTGTTCGAGGAGCCGGGGCCGATCCTTAGGCGGATCGAGGGGTCGGCAGCAGGGAAGGGAAGGAAAGCACCCGACTGGCCCCATCGCTCCTGCCCTAAACTCGCTTCTCTTGGGAACATGGCTCTTGAAGGATCGAATTGCATACCCCTGAAATCGGAGTGCCCGCAGGGAGTCAGTCCCTGGGTGTCAGCGTGCTCACGATTGTGCCTCCCATCGAAATAAAAAGAAACCTTTAAACATTTTATTAGTAACAATATTGAAACAAGATACACTGCATGTATGGTGGAGGCATTCCTAGAAAGTACGAATTATACTGGAGCAAATGAGATTCATAATTTGGTACATTCTTAAGGAGAGAAATGAAACTTAAAACAGCCCTATTTAATATTTGAGCGCTAAAAGGCCTTTATCTAAATAGAGGCAACTATTGAGAATTATGGGCCAGACTCTGGCTTGCCTGCTTTTATTTCAGAAGAGAAGGAGGGTAAAGGGGTGCTCCATGAGAAGGACGGGCTGGTATCTAAAGGAGAAAAGAGGTATCACCAACTGAGTAAGCACCAGGGGGGATGGAAGCACATGTCTTTGTTTTAGATGCTGTTATTTTATTTTATTTTTCAATGGGAAAGTAGCATATTGGAAGGCAAAGAGCCATCTTTAAGCATAAGCATTTTCCTGGCCTTTTATCTTAGAAAATAAAAACAGCAGCTCAGCATTTCATCTGGAACAGAACCAACTGCCAGAAACAGAACTAAGCCGCTAGGGTGAGGTAGGGAGCAGCCTGGCCCACTTTGCCTTCTCATGCTCTGTGCCTGGGGCAGGGCAGACCCACCCTATCAACCATTTGTGAGCCCACCAGCCTGAAAAAAACAGTGGAATCTGACGTGTAACAAGCCTGTAAGGTAGGTAGTATTGTCAGGAAGGGGAAATGAGGTTTGAAAGCATGACCAGCCTTTAGCTGAGCTAGTTTCAAAAATGATTTGTAAGAAGTACTTTGGGACTCACATAAATGCCATACTGCTACAACTGCTTTCATGAGTCAATTTGCACAGAAGCTGGAAAAGAGTCATGGCTACTTTAATGGGTAGCAGAAAGGAACTTTATTTCTTAATCATTTTCAAAGCATGTAGAACCCTACTAGAGTCATCAAATGAGTTAGTGGCAGGGCAAGGTGGAGTCAGATATAGGAGCGTCTTTATGATTCAGAGCTGTGCTTGTAGGTTAGAGTGCTCTGCCCTCATTGACATCTGGTTTTCTTACATGGTTGAGTATTATGTAGTCGGGTCCTTGGGGGACAGCTGGCAGCCACATAGTGTCTTCTGCCTGTGTGAAGAAGTATCTGATGTTGTGGAACAAGAAAAATCCTATTAATGTTAATTGCCTTTAAAAGCAGCTGTAGTGCTAACTCTTATAAAGACAGATCTGAGCTTTTTAGACGGTAGGTAGAATTTCTACTTATTTCTTTATTAGGTTTGCATTCCATCGCCATCAAAAAGACTCCTGGTGGTTATGCATATCATTTGATTTTCATTGAAAGGTGATCAACCCAAATATGCCAGACTCTAAAGTGATTTTACTTACTTTATTTTTCATTTTTGCCCAGCTACAACTCCCAAAGTGGTTTAATTTTGACTAAAGGCTATCCCACTATATGATTCAATCCATAAATTGTTTCATTTGTATTCAAAGAAATTTCAGTAAGATCTCTTCCTTGAAATATCTTCAGTTTTAGTGATTGGACTACTAGACACACCACCTTAAACTCCTGCTTTTTTTCCTTCATAGCTGAATGAGAAAACACAGTTTTTGATTATGAATCAGAGAAAGGGATTTTCACACTCTTCATCTTTCAACAAGTGGGAAGTTATATCATTGAAAACCACCACAGAGAAAAGTAACATAATAAATATGTCTTAGCAGCCAAAGATTATATTTTCCAATATATCTTCTTCAAAGTATGTTGTGAAACTTGTTAAAGTTCTTGTATAAGATTTTAATTTTTTAAGTGAGATGGAGAAAAAATGTACAAGCATTATTTTAAAATAACTAGTTTCCATATAAACATGAAAGCTACCCTTATTTGTTTGGCAAGATGCAACGGAACAGTGCAATGGAAGCCTGTTCCAAATCCCAAAATTTTCCTTTGCTGTTTCAGCCCCTGTAGCTCTTGTAATTCTTTCAAGGACATTCCAGAAATCTTTTTGATCCTGTTCATTAATTTTCTTCTGCTGCTACTTCCTTTAACTTTGTCAAGGACAGTAGTGTAATTTTTTCTGGTCATTACCTGCTCACTTCATATGCCTCAAACATATACAGTGGTACCTCTACTTACGAACTTAATCCGTTCCGTGACTCTGATCGCAAGTCAAGTTGGTCTCAAGTCAAAGTAAATTTTCCCATAAGGTTCAATGTAATTACCGTTAATCCGTTCCGGCATCCACGGACCACGCGTCAGGGGCGGAAAAACGGCCACTGACCACACGGTAGGGCGGAAAATGGCCGTGGACCATGTGGAACGGGTGGGAAAATGGCCGCAGACCACATGGAACGGGCAGAAAATGGCCGCGGACCACGTGGAATGGGCGGAAAATGGCCGTGGACCACGCAGCAGGGCGGAAAAACGGCCACAGACCACGTGGAACGGGCGGAAAAACGGCTGCGGACCACGTGGAACGGGCGGAAAATGGCCGCGGACCACGTGGAACGGGTGGGAAAATGGCCGTGGACCACGCCGCAGGGCGGAAAAACGGCCACAGACCACGTGGAACGGGCGGAAAAACGGCTGCGGACCACGTGGAACGGGCGGAAAATGGCCACGGACCACGTGGAATGGGCGGAAAATGGCCGTGGACCACGCCGCAGGGCGGAAAAACGGCCACAGACCACGTGGAAACGGCGGAAAAACTGCACTGGAAA